TGCATGGAGAACATTTGGAGGACATAAGAAGGCATTGCAGTCAAAATACTCTTCAAAATAGTGATCCTCCCACCATTGGACAAGAAGGAGTTAGTCCAATTATCTAGTTGTGCTTTGATTTGATCTATGACTTCCTAGAATTGTGTTTGTCCAGTTCTTCCTTTGAGTAGTTGTACTCCAAGATATTTAATGGAGAGATTAGCATGGAAAAATCAATTGTAATCATAAATCTAGCACTTGATCTGAGAGGTGGAGTTAGTGTTAACAATGAATTGACATTTCTGTTAGTTAAGAGCCATACCTGAAGTATGTTGGAAGTGTAGAAGACATTTATGTATCCTCTTGATAGAATTCTTGGAAGCTATAGAGAAGATAATAATATCATCAGCATAAGCTAAATGGCTTATAAGGATATTAGGTCTATGGTGATAAGCCAAATTTGGTGAGTTAGTAAACAGCTTATTCAGTTGTCTAGAAAGATAGTCCAGAGCAAGAATGAAAATTGTTGGAGACAAAGGATCTCCCTGCTTGATACCCCTGGTAGCATTAAAGAAGCCATGGCATTTGCCATTGATCAAAACTGAGTGAGCACTGTATTTCAGCCATCTGCGGATCAAATTGATAAAACTTTCATGAAAGTCTTTAGCAGAAAGAATGTCAAGAATAAATTCTCAGCTGATGGTATCATATGATTTGCTTATATCAAGCTTAAAAATGACATTTCCCCCTCTACAATTTCTGTCAAAGTCTAACAAGAGTTCCTGGGCAAGGAGAATATTATCTGTAATATTCCTCCCTTTAATGAAAGTCAGTTGGTTGTTACTGATGAGATATTGGAGATGTGGTTGAAGCCTGAAAACAATGATTTTACTGATTATTTTGGAGATCACATTAGTTAGACTGATTGGCCTGTAATCCCCATAAGTTTTTTTGTTTTGGTTCTTTGGTATCAAAGTGATGGTAGAGGCACTGAAGTATCTAGGAGGATTCACACCAGGAAAGAAATTTTGGACAACTTGCATAATGTCTTTGCTAGTCCTATCCCATGTGGCTTTATAAAATGTCGAGGTATATCCATTTGGCCCAACAGCTTTAAGATCATTAATGGAGTCTAAGGCAAGTTTTCTCATCTTACAAAGGAATATTAGTGAGATTTAATCTTTGAACATAAATTTGACAGTTAGAAAATATATCTGCATCATTTGGGATTCTGTCAGACTGATTACAGGTAAATAAATTTTAGAAGTATTGTACTGCATCAAAAGCAATATCAGCAGCATTGGTTAGATTCTGACCACTGGTATTAGTAATGTTGAGAATTGTATTGTACTTCCTCCTGTAATTGATACAGGCATGATAGTATCTTGTATTTTTATCCCCATCAGTGAATTTAGAGGCAACTGCTTTATATTTTAAGAAACATTCCTGGTAGCTGATTTGTACAAGGAGTCTCTCATTAGCATGATGGACCTCAAAGTCAGAATTCTTCCCCATTTGTAAACCTTCCTCCAGTCTGTGAACTTCTTTTTGGATGGCAACAATTTACTCATTAACATTGCCAAATCACTGTCAGACCCTCTCATACCCCTTTTAAATTTCATAATATGTGGGCATTACATCCTGAGTTTCTTAAGGAAGTTGATAAAAATTGGGAGTCTAACAATGATGCAGAACCTTGGATCAGATTGTGGCTCCTGCAAAAGAAGTTAGCCTCTCATCTGAAAAAATGGAATTGGGATAGATTTGGCAATGTTAATGAGCGACTTGATGCCATCCAAAAAGAAGTTCACAGATTGGAGGAAGGTTTACAAATGTGGATGAATTCTGATTTTGAGGTCCATCATGATAGTGAGGGACTCCTTGCACAAATCAGCTACCAGGAATGTTTCTTAAAACAGAAAGCAGCTGCCTCTAAATTCACTGATGGGGATAGAAATACAAGATACTATCATACCTGTATCAACTACAGGAGGAAGTGCAATATGATTCTCAACATTACTAATACCAATGGTCAGAAATTGACCAATGCTGATGATATTGCTTGTGATGCAGTACAGTACTTCCAAAATTTGTTTACCAGCAATCAGTCTGACAAAAGCCCTTTTGATGCAGATATATTTTCTAACTATCAACATTATGTTCAAAGATTAAATCTCACTTATATTCCTTTGGAAGATGAGATAAAACTTGCCTTAGACTCCATTGATGGTCTTAAAGCTGCTGGGCTAGATGGATATACCTCAACATTTTATAAAGCCACATGGGACAGGTCCAGTAAAGACATTATGCAAGTTGTTCAAAATTTCTTTCTTGGTGTGGATCCTCCTAGATATTTTAGTGCCTCTACCATCACTTTGATACCAAAGAACCAAAATAATCAGCAAAATCATTATTTTCAGGATTCAACCACATCTCCAATATCTCATCAGTGACAACCAAGTGGCTTTCATTAAAGGGAGAAATATTACTGATAATATTCTACTTGCCTAGGAACTCCTTTTAGACCTTGACAAAAATTTTAGAGGGGGAAATGTCACTTTCAAGCTTCATACAAGCAAGACATATGATACCATCAACTGGGAATTTATTCTTGACATTCTGTCTGCTAGAGGCTTTAATGAAAGTTTTATCAATTTGATTGCAGATGGCTGAAATGCAATGCTCACTCAGTTTTGATCAATGGCAAGTGTCATGGCTTCTTTAATGCTACAAGGGGCATCAAGCAGGGAGACCCTCTGTCTCCAACAATTTTCATTCTTGCTCTGGACTATCTTTCCAGACAACTGAATAAGCTGTTTACTAACTCACCTCATTTGGCTTATCATCACATATCTAATATCCTTATAACCCATTTAGCTTATGCTGATAATATTATTACCTTCTCCAATGCTTCCAAAAATTTTGTCAGGAGAATACATAAATGTCTTCAACACTTCCAACATACTTCAGGTATGGCTCTTAACCAACAGAAATGACAATTCATTGTGAACACTAACTCCACCTCTCAGATCAAGCACTAGATTTCTGATTATACTAGATTTTTTCATGCTAATCTCCCCATTAAATATCTTGGAGTACAACTACTCAAAGGCATAACCAAACAAACACAATTCCAGGAAGTCATTGATCAAATCAAAGCATAACTTGAGAATTGTACTAACTCCTTCTTGTCTAATGGTGGGAGGATCACTATTTTAAGGATTATTTTGACTGCAATGCCTTCTTATGTCCTCCAAATGTTATCCATGCAAAAAGGGTACACAAGTAGCTATTGGAAGGATTTTCAATAATTTTCTCTGGCCAGGTCAAAGGAAACAATTCCAGTGGCTCTCTTGGCAGAAGTTATGCAAACCTTTGCAGGCTAGTGGGCTTAGCTTTAAAGACTTTCAACACCTGGGTTTCCTTAACCTTTACAAATTATGGATCAGTTTTAGGGCCCAGGATAGTCTTTGGGCAAGATTTCTGAAAGGGAAATATTGTAGATCTGTGCATCCTGTATTGGTAACAAAACAATTGGGGGATTCCAAATTGTGGACCAAACTATTGAACATTAGAAATCAAGCCGAGGAACTTTTTCTATGGGAGTTGGGATATGGACAAGATAATTTTTGGTTAGATAACTGGGTTAGCAATGGTGAGAAGCTTGAGTGCCTTAACCCAAAACCCAACTATAATTGTCAGGTCAGAGATTATTGGTCAACAAATTAGTGGAACTACAGAATGCTTAACATACATTGTTCTATCTAGTGAACATGTTAGATGGGTTAAGGATACTCCCTTCTCATCTAGTTCCAATGATAGAATTATTACTAAACATGCTTATTCCTAGAAATTATCTGTCTACATTTATCATCACTTCTTTAATTGGAATCCATTGCTTTGGGGAAAAGCCATTTGGGGTAAACTCCTAACCCATTCTATGTCCTTCTTATGTTGGAGACTATGGCACTCCTTACTTCCTACTGATGACACTTTAAAGATGAAAGGGTTGAGAGGGCCTTCTATCTGCCCATTATGCTATGCTGCTGAAGAAACCTTGGACCACTTATTTTTCTCTTATAATTTCTCCCAAGAAATTTGGTCAGGTTTACTCAAGCTTCTGAATATTGATACTTATAATGTAATTTGGCTTAGGTTTTTTACTTGTGGGAAGATTGGAATAACAGCAAGCTTTTGGTGATCCCTTGTATTGTGGCTTGGTTTGTATGGATGTGCAGAAATCATATCAAATTTGATGAGCAATTTCTAGGGTCATATTCTGTGATACTTAACTGTATCTCTTATCTTTAGAAATTGATCAAGTTCCACCATTTCCCTAATGTAATAAAAAATTGGACCTCTGACAAAAATAATTTTCTTCCACACTCTTCCAAATTAATCTTCTGGAGCCCCCCTCCTACTGGTTGGTTGAAGGTCAACACTGATGGCAGTTTCTCAAATGGTTGTACTGGAATTGGGGGAGTCTTCAGAAACTCTCTTGGTACCCCCCATACTATATTTCACTGCTCCCACTGTGGCACTTGATGCTTTGGAGGCTGAATTCAAAGCTATTTACTGGGCCATTAGAATTGCTTGCTAATGTCGTCTGGGCCTTTGCTTGTGGAAACTGACTTTACTGTTTGCATTAATATTTTACTCCCCTGGAATCTAATCATGTGGAACAGACAGCTGAATGCTCTCTTACACAGTTGCATGGTGAAATTTAACTACATCGCTAGGGAGGGCAATTGTTCAACACATTGGCTAGCCTCCCAGGGTAGGAACACTGAACAGTCTTATGTTGGGAAGGCACTTACATCAAACTTAAAATTTCTTCTGAATGGGGATAATATGGCACTCCCCTACTTTAAAACCCTGTAACTTTTTTGGAGTAGTAGATATAATTTTGAAGCTAATGAGATATATATAGATATATACATATATCTCCTTACTTTGTTTGGTGTAGCTACTATATATATGTGTCCATATATTTATAGAGCAAGTAGGCATTTTATGTTTTCCTTTTCCTTTGGGAGAGCTTCATTACCCAATACTTGTAACCCCCTTTATCTATTAACATGTCAGGAGCCTTAGTTGCTCTTTCCTGGAAATATATATATATATATATATATATATATATCATGTAAGCTTTTTCTATTTTTCTTTTCTTTTGGTAGGGCTTATTTCCCCAACACTTGTAAACCCTTTTTTCTATTAACATGTACGGAGCCTTAATTGATCTTTCCTGGTATATATATATATATATATAGATGGGGGTTGTGTTAGTTATTGCTCTGCTAGGGTTTCCACGGGATGGCTGATGCTTGGGCCCTTGGTGGCGGGTTTCCTGTTCTTCTTCCCTTATGTTTCTCTTTGTTTCAAGTGCACCTCTTATTTATTTTGTTGTGGGTTACTATTCTCTTGAGTCTCTACCTTCCTGGGTGAATGATTTTTCAAAAAGTTAATGTTTCATTGGTTTCCTTTTGTCTCTTATCCTTATGGTTGATCCAAATTCTTTGGACTTGGACACAAAAATCCAATGGACTAGAGAAACTTTTGCTGATATTGTAGGAAAGGGTTTTGACACTATAAAAAACTATGATGATCTTGTGTTCCCTCAGGCTTGTCATGAGGGGGTTGACCCCATTATCAAACCTTTGAGTGAGAAAGCAAGAAAACTTGCAATCTTCTTTTCAGAGGAGGATATCCAGGGGCTTACTGATGTCTGTAAGTTCACAGTCATTGGAAAATTTCAACTGGGGCACCTTAAAATGGAATCCATTTGAAAATATTTTGACAACCTAAAACTTAATGGTGCTTGGAGAGTAGGCTTGTTGGATGGAAGGTGTATCTTAATTAATTTATCCAGGGAGGAAGACTATGCTTGTTTATTTTCTAAACAAAGCCTGCATATTGAAGGGATTACCATGAAGCTACTTAAATGGTCATCAGATTTTGATCCCAACAAGGAACTCCCCATTGTTCTAATATGGTTTAGGCTCACTGGGCTCAAGTTACATTTCTTCAATCATAAAGTTTTGTTCAACATAGTTCAAGCTTTGGGTAGACCTTTGAAGCTAGATGTTCCTACCTTTAATTTTACTAGACCATCTGTAGCAAGAATATTGGTTAAAAGGGACATAACTATTCTTGAGATTGAGAAAATATGGTTAGGTACTAAGCATAATGGCTATTGACAAAAAATAAAAGCAGAGCAAAAACCTTATTATTGCCATCATTGTAAAATGTTTGGTCATCTAATGTTAGATGCTTAAAGTCAAATCCACACCTTAAGAAAATACTGAAAAGTCCTCTTAAAGATCTCACTATTCAGGCTGGTTTGAAGGACCTTGCTGGGGATGATCTGCAAGGGGTCAGGAAACCTGTACAGGAAGATCTGTCTAGCGGCCAAGATGAAGGGGCTGCCGATGTCAATCCTCTCATCCCAACTATTGGGGATGGATTGGGGATGCCTACCTCCACCTGTCCTGAGGTTGGTCATTCTTTAGTACCTCCTATAAATAGGGGTTTTGACTGAGAGCAGGTAATCAGGTTGAAGCTAACTTTACTGAGTTGCAAGTTTCTGTGGAATCTCAAGATCTTATAGGGAATTCTAACTTGGGCTACTCTCTGGATGACAACTTAATTATTCAAATAAACAATCACTTGGAGGATTATTGGCATGTTCAGAAGTCAAGAAAAAAGAAGAAGGGAGTCATGGAGCTGAAAAATTTACAAGAAGGTGCTCAATCACTTATGGAAAGGACCACTCATCAGGGAAGAAATGATGCCATGTCTAGAACTAGAAGGAGGGGGAAATCCATCTCCCTGAGATGATGAACTTTCTTTGTTGGAAT